TGGATTAACGTCGGCACGAGTGAGTACTACGACTATACGCAGTATTATCATAGACCAATTCGTTAATACCAAGGCAACAATGTGGTTCGGATTCCACTATAAACTGTAGTTCCCTTAGTTGCCACGAGGTGTGTGGGCTATTAATTAACAGCTGTGTCTAAGGAATATGTCACTAACAAGACTACAAGGCCGCACCACTCATCCTACACTCATCTCCATTCATACTTGGTTTTAAATACCTACTTATTATGGTCGCAATTTTAATAAAAAGTATTAAATTAGTAGTATTACTATTTATTTTCAAATTAAAGATTGAAATCATTGAACGACACCTGGTCTTTGAAAAAGTGAAGGTTTTCAAAATTAAATTAATCAAATAATCATATTCGCAACATTGTATAACCCTCGTCAAAATACGAATAGGCCAGAATGAACTCTAGTTTCTATTATTTAAACTTTTAATATGCCCGCATCATATAAAAATCAATTATGAAATTAGTAGCTCTTATTTTATATTATTATTTTTATTTTCATGTGTATTTTTGGTGCAAAAAAATGTATTTTAAAATGTTGACTTATTGTTACTATTGTGATCACTTACAAAGTCTAATACAACACGGTTTGAAATCATATACATCTTCAAAACAAACTACAAATAAGATTAATAAAAAACTAACTTTTAGGAATCTTTTAGTATTTGTTATACGACTGCACTAATGACATTCTAATGATATTTTAAAAGTCTTCTGTCTCAATAAGCAGTTATAGTATATTGTAATGACAAACAATTTTCTGAAAATAAAGTGTGCCAGAGATGCACTTCTATAGCAACTTCACTACTACGAAAATTGTCTAAATACGTGTTAAGCAAGGCAATGAAAAATTAAATGAATGATAAAAACTAACAAAGTTCTACAAGGAAAGAACTGCAAATAGAAATATTTAGTAATTTTATGCATTTTGTGATACTCAAACAGGTCATGTTTTCTCGTATGTAAGTTAACCCACTAAGCAAAGGCTTTAACTTAATCACTCATGTTTGATTTAATGGCGCCCAACCCACACAACGACAGAAGAGTAAACATCGTTGTGTAACTTAGAGTATGTTTGTTTCAGTTACATCAAACAATGGTAAAACCACGGGATATAATATTTGCTGAGTTTCCCTTTATAGCTCACAACAATGCATTTCATAAATTAAAAGAACTGTTGTGTTACACAATAATCTATACTGTAGGCCTATACAGGGTTAGTAAAAAGTGTGGAGACACCCTGTTATTTGTTTAACGCCTCATACTAGAAAAACTAAACTCGGCACAACTTTATGACATGTTATGAAGTACTTTTTGGACATAACCGTCACTTGGTGTACATCCCCAAAATGGGGGATTTTGGGGGAAACTAAAAAAATTCAAATACCAAGACCCATCGAGTGACCCCTCATTTTGAAGGTCTTGGTAAAAGAAAACCAACAACGCAAACTAGAGGTCTTTATCTCAATCCTGTAAAACATGGCAGCCAATTGAAATTCTCAGAAGTTCAATTTAACTTACAGCTTTCCAAGTCTGGAGACCTGCTGTAAATTTTGTAGCGGCTCACACTAGGAAAACTAAACTCTACACACCTTTTTGGCATGTTATGAAGTACTTTTTAAGCCTAATAGCCACTTGCTTATCAAACCCAAAATGGGGGATATTGGGGGAAACTCAAAAGTTTTAAATGATAAGCCACATCGACTGACCCCTCATTTTGAATGTCCTGGTAAACGAAAACTAACAACGCAAATTGAGGTTTCTATCTCAATCCAGTAAAAAATGGAAGCTGATTGAAATCTTTAGAAATTGGAAATAACTTGCAATTTTATATTCAATTAGCTGCCATATTTTACTGTGTTAAGATAGAGACCTATAGTTTGCGTTGTTACTTTTCTTTTATTATGACCTTCAAAATGAGGGGTCACTCGATGGGGCTTATCATTTAAAATCTTTGAGTTTCCCCCAAAATTCTCCATTTTGGGTTTGGGAACTTATGAGAATTTCAATTGGCTTCCATTTTTTACTGGATTGAGATAGAAACCTCTAGTTTGCGTTGTTAGTTTTCGTTTACCAGGACATTCAAAATGAGGGGTCAACTTCAACCAGGACGTGATTGAGTCATGCGAACGAGCTCATCTTGAAAATGAACGAGCATTTGAAATAAAAACCACATTAGGACAGGACGACGCCTGTCGGGCCAGCTAGTAAACTAATATTATCGACAGATTATAAACAATAAAGGAATAAGTAAATTTTGTAATAAGTCCGGTTTTGGAAATAAATTAAGAAATACGTTTTTTTCATTAACAAGTACTTATTTAGGAGAAGTTTTTGAACCTGTAGTCCCATACACATGTAAATGATAAAGGGGAAATAACATAATTTATTTTACAAATAGTAGGCTACACAAATCAAAAGAATTAACAAATGGTATTATCAAAGCGTACTTATACTTTGAACATATTGATTACGGTTTCTAATCAAATCAATTTATTCAGAAAAAAGAACATAACATAGATTGTATACAACAAAACACAATGAATTTAGGCCCCTTCAAAGCTAAGCTTGAGTGCAAGGACCAAACACTGATCATAAAACAGTTGATTTTTATTTTGATAGTTGATCATCAAATGTGTTTTAAACGTTAAGAACCCTACACTAAAATTAACTGTGGTTTTCCCAACATTTTGCCGTAAAGGTATGCATTATTTTCTTATTAACCTAATCGTTTGGAATGGAGGAATATTAAAAGCTGATTTTGTAAAAATCTTCATCATGCAATGTTATTCTTTACAGACCTATTCTATAGTGTAAGTAGAGTGTAGGCCTATTATAGTTTTGGTTAATTGAGCTATAGAGCTATTTTCTTAATACGTTGGTGCGTTTATTTTGTTTGAATTAAAACGTTTGATAATTTTTTTTTTTTTTGAATACCGCTATTTTTTAAAATAAGTTTTACCTGGTTATATGACGGGAATAACAAAGTACGTTTTTACAACTTAAGACACTTTAAATATTTAATAAAATTTTGGACCATCCCTGCAAATTATGTATGTTAACAATATCCCTTAATAGCAATTATTTGAACGCATTACTACCAATTGAGATGGAGACGCTGCCTATTGAGTGAAGGATGAGAGTAGAATGGAGTATGACCTTGTTTAGTTTAGTTACTGACTAATACCGGCTGCTTATTTATTAATTTATTGCATTATGTAATCGACCATACATTTTAATAAGCAACATCTCACAAGTGTAGCCATCGGCCACCTTCCACTAGACAACTAACCTCAACTAACTTTCTACCGACAGTTACTCAAAGTTTACCTTATTAACAATTCAATGATATAACTACCTAACAAGAAATAGTGTAACTGTCAGTGGTTTTGAAATAATGCATAACAAATATTAATTTTCATATCTTAAAGTCATTTACAATCACACACAACTAGTATTCATGCAAAACCCTACTTACAGAAAGGTTTTTATGCAAATTTAGCCGTGTTGTCATAATTTAGCTAGGCACATATTTTTACTATTTTACATATTGCCAAAAAACTAACGTACAACATTGACCTCCTTTCCATATTACCCAAAACAACCATTTATTTATTTATTTTATTTTACTAAGCGTTTTTCTCCATAATTACCATTTTAAAATGTTTATAGGGGGGGTGGTCAAACCCTGGTCTTGTCAACACCTGGTTTATAACCTTGTTTGATAGTGATGTTTGGTACAGTCACTAGTGTTGTCAGTGTTCCACTACTGTTTTCCTGCATACGGCAACAGCATCTCAAGGGAAGAGATGTCCTGATTGCAAAAAGTGCAGAACTCCGCAATTCGTTTCGTTTACGATATCCGTAAGCGTGAACGCGTATCCCCATTCCGGGATGCTGCGGGGTTGCTGTAAATGGGTACCGTGTGCAGGGCGCAGACTTGTAGCCTCATCCACCGGGTTTTAAATCAGCCCCCTCCCCCCTAACTTTTTCTTCATTTCTTAAGATATCAACTCCGGTCCACGTCAGATCATTGTAGAGTAGTAAGTACTTCATTTGGACTGGGTATAAATGTTTGGCCGCCATCTTGGAGCTGTCATATTGGATACAAAGTTTATTTTTCAAATGAAGTAGGGTTGCGACCCATTGTTTCAAACTGGGTTTTGCTTTTACGCTGAATACGATGCTTCAAACCGTTCAAAGAAATCTTGATCCTTTCTAAAGTTACCGGTATGAGAGATTTTTATAACTTTATTTTTAGCCCATTTCAGCATTGTGCATTTACAAACTAAGGCCATAATCTCAAAATAGTGCTAGATAAAGATAAGTATACACTACCATTCATTGTAGAGCTATTTTCTCTTGATTATGACGGATGTATTTTTCGGCCGCCATCTTGGATCCGCCATTTTGAAATATGATAAATTATTTTAAATATCAAGGTAGTGTTGTGATCCAACATTTTGGGCTACTTTTTATGCTAAACTCAATGCCGCAATATGTTTTTTTTATCAAGCTTTCTTGATGAAATATTACAATAATTTTATTTAAAATGTAAATATTTCAAAAACCAAATATCAAAATGAAAAACCACTTGAGTCAACTATACAATAAATTGGATATCATAAAATGTATTTCAGTATCAATTATTTGAAATGGGTACGCATTTAAACCCGAATATGAGTGAAGTATGAGTGTATCATAATGTAAATATTTATTCTATGTTCTGTGAGCATGCTGTGAGATGATCTTTTTAGCTTTACTGACTAAGATCAGCTGTTTCATCAGTAAGGATTTTGTAAAGCCCAATCATCAGGAACAGCTGGGTAAAACTAGCTGCATTAAATCATTATAATAAGTTCTACGGAATATTTAGTGTTAGTGGTCAGGATCGGAACGAATGATTGAAATCAAACAGCAAGACTTAGGACATATTCTATTTAATTGAGTAGGTAACTATTTGACAGATAATGCATTAATTTGACATTTAACATCTATTTGTAGCTTACTTGAGCCCCTGGATCAAGGTGGCATATGAGTAGACTGTGTTTAGTATCTGAAACAAAAAAAAAAAAAAAACTATAGTTGGCAACTTAAATAACAATTGGTAGTTTTAAGAGAACATTTATCATAACTTAAGATTTTAAGGTGAATACAATAAATTCGAAACAGTCTCAAGTATGAATGAATTTGGAATACTTCCTCTTTAAGACTTATTCAGTAAACTGCTTTTTCAATATTACGCGCGGCTTAGTGACGCGGATAAATATTAGAATTCAACATTCAGAGATGTGTACCGTAGGCGTAATGGAATTGAAAAGTATTTAATCTAAACGTTGAATGGTCCAAATTTGAGACTGAAAGTATGAATATTTATCCTTTAACCAAGACTCAATCTTTAGAGATATGTTTTGTAGTATATCCATAATATAACAGGTATTAATTTTAACATTGCATGATCCAGATTTGAAACTCAAAATCGTATATTCCTTGATTACTTAGTAATATACTTACTATCCTATATTGTTTACCAATAGTATATTTTGTCACTAGGGCGCAAAGTTCCTCTCTTCGACCCGATTTCAAGTTCTACGATTAAAGCAAAGCCGAGGTCGGAAAACCAGAAAGGGTTTAAAATGCAACTTTTTGCCCGTGAGATATTATTCGAATATTATTCGACTTATAGCATTATTTTTAAACATAAATCTAAATATATAAAAGGCAAAGCCCTCACTGACTGACTGACTCACTCACTCACTCACTCACTCACTCATCACTAATTCTCCCACTTCCCAATTACCTAGGAGGCTGAAATCCGGTACACCGATTCTTTGGGCATTAAATAGGAAAACTAAGTAGTTTTTATTCTGATAAGGAGTTTCCAATGTTAACCTTATGATTTTTCATATTTAAAAGGAATTTCTTAACAGCTGTTTAAAGGCAAGTGAGCGTAGCGAACGAGCTAACCTGAAGGCGAGTGAGCGCAGCGAACGAGCTCCAACCTAAAGGTGAGTGAGCGTAGCGAACAAACTTTAACCAGGACGTGATTGAGCCATGCGAACGAGATCATCTTGAAAATTAAGAAGTTAAACGGGGCAAAGCCCGCGGGTTACAGCTAGTAGAATATAACAATAATTTACAACCCATGAAATCGATCGATACAATTTCCATACATGGGATTGCTTACGATTGAAGTTTACAACTGACTTTTTACTCTCTAAGGATTAAATGAACTACCTTAAACCCGCAACGAATGTATTGAACGTCTGTTTTTGTTGCCGCATGGCGAAAGAAAATATTTGTTTCCAAAGAGTATGTGTTCGATAGTACTTTCACGTTATTTATTTAAGCTAAGGCAAATGTAAAAAGAAACTTGTTACATTTATTTAAGTAGTCCACAGTACGTTATATTTATGTATTTGTGACTTACATTGCCATATGTCTCCATGCCGAGTGTGTATATACCACCAATGGTCATACGGAGAGGTCTGGACGCCATCATCTGCATGATGTACAGCCCTCGCCTCATACTGCGAGGTTTGTCGGTCCAGTCACAGGAGTACAGGGCTAGAGAGAGTCTCTCGGACTGAAATTAATTTACATTATATCATAAACAAGGCAGACGTTGCTGTTCAATACTTGCAGCCTACACAAACTGACGTCATCACTAGATTGCCTTAAGACTAACACCTGTTCTTCACAGTATTTAGATTACTCCATAGACCAGTTACATACACTTAAGAGTCCTTGGAGCCTAGCTGTGCTAACTATAATAAAACAATTACAAAACTACAAAGGCAAATGTCTAATCCCACATTACCCTAGTTATGTTAATTACAAACACTTTAATATCTGAACAAATATTTTGATATGGTTAATCATTCTTCAGTGGCTGATTTAAATTAACATCGTTCTTATGGCAGGGATATCTAAGATGACCGTTAGCCTCCAAGGACTTCATTGGAAAAATATTACAAAACCACAAAGAAAATACTTTCCTGTATATGGAATTACAATAACTTTGTTACATATTTAAAAAAATATTTTTGGATGAAAATAGCTCCTCGGCAGGTGTTTGAAATCACCCAAAATGGCCGCTAGCTTCCATTGACTCTCACGATTACAAATTAATTGATAGAGTGATTATTTCGTTATTTAAAATAACATATGAATTCTTACATTACAATCTACAGAATCTTTATTTGAGAAGAGTTTAGCCACTGGTTAAGGTTTGTACGAAAAAAAATACTCATGACTGATCGATTTAACTTTTTTATTAAGTGGTGTTCAAGAACATTTGTTAACCTTCTTATGGCCGTCAATGGGACCACTGAAAATTTAATAATAGAAGCCGAAACTAGTTATAAAGATACCGCGAGTTTCCATACCGAACCATGGCTCTGTCTCCCTGTACTTTAACATGACGCAATCTATCCGACATTGTCGGTCAAGGATTAAGGACACAAGTATCAAGTAAGTATCAAGTATCAAGTAACATATGATTTGACAAAAAACTATAAATAAAAAACCTTTTGGTTTGAATAACATGATTATCCAATCATTTATGGTAAAATTGGTACAGAGTGTTCTTAAACTTAATTATCAATTAAACTACCACGGTTGTTGAATACAAATATATTGCTCTACTGTCACCTATCAAAGTGGGCTTCCTTGTACTGATAAATTGCTAAATTGATAAATTCCTTGTACATAAATTTGCTAATTACTCCATTTACTTACTTTTGTCGCAATATTTTTTGCCGCACACCAGTATGTCATCCAAACAACACAAAACTGCGTGCTGTTAATATGCACGTAATCCGTGTACGCTCGGAAATAGGTTGGCAACACTTAAAGATAATACGACTACGATCAGCTGTTCCCATTTCGTTCAAGGCTTGGATTTAACGTAACCCTTAACGTGTTGTTTAGTGTTTGAAAGACTAATTTATATGCTTTATAATAACCGTAGGAACAATATAATGTATAACACGAGTGCAAATTGCCCTTTCTCCACTAGACACTCAAATAACTATCTTTTAAAATGCATTTTAATATCATGTATCTGTTTGTTACCATGATGGGCTGAAAATAAACTCTACATTAAGCAAAAAATTTTATAGCTACATTGCTTAAACAACATCCTTATATGATGTTAACAATTTTATACCGTACCTCATTTATGAGTATTTGTCCAAAAACGTTGTATACTCCGGCTGCTAGAAGTATGTTTATTGCTTCAATAAGATTGGCCATGACTCGCAGGCTAAGACTATTCTGTAATATACATAGAATATAATAGAAATAGAATAGGATAGAAACGTCTTTTATTTGAAGCGGTTTTCAGTACATAAATACACTGCTTTTCAAAACAACTCAAGTCAGGTACAAAGTCTGCAATACAATAATAAAAGAGAACAAATAATTTAACTAAAACTAATACAACTAGCCTATATTTACAAATACAGTTTTTTTGTTTCTTGTCTGAAAGCCTTATAACTTAAATTTTTAATTCTTTCAGGCAAGGAATTGTATTCCTGAGGGCCGAAAAAAGAAAACCCCTTCTTACTACATTCAAAGTTTACACGAGGCAAATGCAGTAGGCTATCCTGTCTTGTGCACCTATCTCGTACTTCTTTTCGAGTGGTTAGTTTATCTTTGAGGTAGGAGGGTCTGTTGGTTTTGACCACTTTATGTACTATGGCAACAGTTTCAAGGACGCAAACAACCTGCACTGGTAACATTTCACTATCCTTTCTCGTATGTGATATGTGATCAAACCTTTTTAGATCATATACAAATCTTAGAGCATTATTTTGCAAGCATTGCATACAATACATTAGGTCATTAAAATAATAAAGAATAAATTATTACAAAATATAAATGTGTAGGATTATTCAATCACCAGTTCCAACTCTCCACACTGCTTTCAATTACTACTTCCTTCACCACTTTCTACGTCGCGGATCTATATCCCTCACTTCCCATAGCATTTTAGGATTGCAGATACCTTAATCTAATCATCATAAACAGTTCCCACACTCCGGACTGCTTTCCTTTACTACTTTCTTCACCACTTCCTACGTCGCGGACCTATATCCCTCCCTTCCCATAGCATTTTACGATTGCTGATACCTTAATCTAATCGTCATAAACAGTTCCCACACTCCAGACTGCTCGCCTTTACTACTTCCTACACCAGTTCCTACGTCGTGGACCTGTTTCCCTCCCTTCGCATAGCATTTTAGGATTTTAGATACCTTAATCTAATCGTCATAAACAGTTCCCACACTCCAGACTGCTCGCCTTTACTACTTCCTTCATCGGTTCCTACGTCGCGGACCTGTTTCCCTCCCTTCCCATACCATTATAGGATTGTAGATACCTTAATCTAATCGTCATAAACAGTTCCCACACTCCAGACTGCTCACCTTTACCACTTCCTTCATCACTTCCTACGTCACGGACCTGTTTCCCTCCCTTCCTATAGCGTTATAGGATTGCAGATATCTTAATCTAATCGCCATAAACAGTTCTCAAACTCCGGACAGCTCGCCTTGACTACTTCCTTTGACACTTCCTACGTCACGGACCTGTTTTCCTCCCTTCCAAAAGCATTTTAGGATTGTAGATACCTTAATCTAATCGTCATTAACCGTTCCCACACTCCGGATTACTCGCCTTTTTACTTCCTTCACCACTTCCTACGTCACGGACCTGTTTCCCTCCCTTCCCTTAGCATTTTTTAACTGCAGATATCTTAATATAATCGTCATAAACAGTTTCCACACTCCGGACTGCTCGCCTTTACTACTTCCTTCATCACTTCCTACGTCACGGACATGTTTCCTTCCCTTCACATGGCATTTTAGGATTGCAGATACCGTAATCTGATGAATCTAATCGTCATAAGCAGATCCCACACTCCATACTGCTACCCTTGACTACAATGTATCGAGTAATATTCAGTATAATCTTTGCTCAATAAGCAACTGATGTTTTTCCTTTTGTACTGTATTTTGTTTTGCTAGTATACTGTAGATAGACAACTTACAAGTCTTTTGTTTACTTTTTCCTTGTTATTTAATTCAGCCAAGATGGTTACTTAGCAACCCATAAGACTAATGTTAGAAAAATGCAACTTTCAGTTTTATTTTATTACGTAATTAGATTTTTGTTGGCATCTTTAATTAAACTCGTTTTAAGGCCAGGAATAAATTATTTACAATATTTGAAGAAAATCGTCGGAGCTGTTTTCGAGATCTTGGTGCAAGCATACATACATACATTCATACAAGCAAACATTGCTTGCATTAGAGTATAGGATAACATGATGCTTGTTGTATTTAGTTGTATACTTGACTTAAAGAAGGATGTCATTCATACTAAATACTACAACATTAGAGGAAAATCTTCTGTAATGGAACATCCATCAATGATTATTATTACTAAATCAGTATTGTACAAGAGAATATACCGGTAACAAATATTTTCCATAGTGTTATTTGTGTAACTAGTGCGCAAAGGCACTTTGCGCTCGAGTTATACAGTATATTTTTCCTACAAGTACTATTAAGCATAAATGGATGATGAACTAGCAGAGTACCCGTCCTTTGTACGGGGTTGGCATATAGGTAAAAAATGCTTATTGCTGAATGCTGTTATGGGAGCGGACACAGTTTGATAAAATTTGGTTCTTTTACTTCATACGGTATGCTGTTGTTTATATTTGTATAGTTGTAAAAGCTATGCACATGCATTTTAAATTTTTCATAATGTACTTACCAGATCGACTTTAGGAAAGGTCATGGCAACAATTAGCCCTCCAGATTGTGTGACCGCCCAGACCAACCAGCAAAATGTTTTGTTTGAAATCTTCACAAGCCTGGAATATGTTGATGCCTCATTAACATATATTTCTTTAGCCACTATGTACCTTTGAAGTGTTGTATCAAGTGTTTCTTTTGATATATTATGTAATCAAATAGTAGTTCAACTATTTTAACACATAAAGTGTAAGTGTTTTGAATAGCAATTGGTTGGACGTATTTTATTGATTTCAATTCAATTTGAATTTGGCGTTGATTTTGGATACGGAATGGTATCATTGGCAAAGAAAATTTTAAAACAAAATGTTTACAATGTGTTGAAAAATTCTCAACTGATTAAAAATAACAGCCGCTCAACGATTCAAAATTGCAGATTCAATAAATCTTTGAACGGCTGCAAATTTTGACTCAGTTGTCCGTTCGTTCTAGTTTAAATTTGCAGCACTGTATTCTACAAGTAAATTCATGATATGCATATCAACCTATGCTTACACTTCTTAAGATTTTCTTCCGAAATCTTGGGGCCGTCTCCCTTGAGGAGAGGAAAATTGTTAATTGCTTAAAAAGGTGATTTTTATGATAAATATCTAGATACAAAACTGTACCACCGTATCTATGTTGGTTAACAATATGAAGCCGTCCCAGGACTTTTTAACAAACAGTATGACTTTTAAATATTACAATAATTGAACTGAAAAACTCTCTATCTTCTATCTATCTATATAAGAATTACGTAAGCCGATTCTTTGCGTCAAAATTGTGGGTGACTGGTAAGTCGTATAACGACGGGATAGGGCTCAAATTAAAGGTCTCGATGCCGTGACGGCGGGAAAAATGGTGAAATTCCTAATATTTTAACACAAAATTAGATATAACGTAAAATTTTCTCCATAAGAATAGCATTAGAAGCTATTTACTGCTTTCAACATGTTTATATTGCTGACATGTTTATACATGTTTACCTAACCCGCCATGTTAAACTTCCCTATCCCAAGCGTGATGTATACAACTTTCTTACTTCTCGAGTGATGTAAAGTATCAAAAACTCACTCGGTGATGAAAAGAAACCCATTTAAATAACATTGAGTGCTTAACTTAAAAAATATAACCCTATGGAGCCAACGACGTTCAACGCTAGAAATCAGCTGTGCGCTTGAATGTTATTGTTATGCTTTAAAGTATTTTCCTAACCTAGCTTTTGCAATTTGGTTAGTAAAAGAACGTTACTGTTAGAAGATGAGTGAAATGGATAGTGAAAAATATTGTACGTAAACCCATGTATATTGTCGGGTCAGGTAAAATCTTGTACGTTACACGTTACGCAAGAGCGTGTTTAATCACTTAGGTAAATTATGCAACTCGCTTCCGCTCGTTGCACAACATTCACCTGCGTGATGTAAAAACGCTCTTACTACACTTGTAATGTAAATAGCTATTACATTGATGTTTATATTGATGTTTATATTGATGTTTATATGATTACTGCTGACTTTTGTTTACTTCAATACAGCTGATCGTGATTTATAATCATGCCAGTATTTGGATTACTCATTTGCCAGTCAAATCTGCAATGGGATAACGTTACCCATAATAATCAAGACTTTTTAGTTATGTCAAAGTTGAAATAAATTGTTTTCAAGATTAAAGAAACAATGGTACTAGATTAAATGAAGATCTTCTTTGTTTTGATTTCAAAACATATGTTAAAGACTTATTCCACATGCACTTTTTTGTAAATTTATACTAACATTTATATTTGAGATTTATAATAAATATTTTGTGTAAGGTGGAATAACCTAATCGGTTACTCTTAGAAAACATTTTGGGAATTATTATATAACAGTAGAACATAGAGGTAATTAACGTTTCTTAAGACTAACCAAAAATATTTATGTCGTGATTAGTTTCGATAACTGGGTAATGGAACCCTAACCAGACGCAAAATAGTTGGTAATCAAGACGTTGATTAGGCCCTTTTTGGTAGAATATGTAAATCAATCGCACCTTTAGGAGGATTACCACCACATGTACTTACACTAGGCTAATAGTAGTTTTTTTTAATGTTGATCAGAAACAAATTTAAAGTTAAGTTCCGTCAACGTGATGCCTTTACTTATTACTTAAGACTAATTTTGTTACACCTTTACAAAATGAGCATAGACTTAAATATAATGACTGGGTAGGGTAGGGATGCTAATTTAGCGGTTTTGACCAAGAACTAAGTTTATCTCAACACACCATTTTTTGCCTTTTCTTATTTGACGAAGACAATTTCCAATACTGTATTTCAATAGGGGAAGCCTTTTTATTAGCATTAACCAAAAAACCAAAGCTACCTTAATAAACCAATATTTATTCATAAACATGTTTGCTGTCTTAAGCAGTTAAACCTCTAGAATCATTCAAATTTTTTATTGAAAATAACATCAACAAAAGCAAACAAAGACAAACAACAAACTGTTTTTTTTTACACAAAAGATATGTTGTACTAAGATATATATCCTGACACATAGATAATTTGATTCTGAGTTTGTTTAAATATTACAATAATTTATTTTCCATTTGAGCTTTTTAGGGACTTATGTCCCTACAAGCCACTAGTACTTACTTAATTATTTCAATATGCTTGTTCACTATGTTGCTTGTAAACACCCTTATCTTCTTCTCACTCTCCCGTTCCCTTATGTACCTTTGGTAGTTCGATTCCCTTACTGGTTCTATTTTCATTACTTGATTCTTCTGTGAATTACTTGGCATATCTAAACCTTCAAAAATGCAATCTGAATCCCCTGTCACCTGATAAGAAGTGGTTTTAACACTAGGGTCAACGTCAACTAACTCATTTGTTGACGGAATGAATCGATCAATTTTTTCCAAATCGGTACAAATAATCCTAATTTTACATTTCATCTTCATTACGATAGCAATCATGTGCAAAGTGGTCTGAAACATTGTCAGGACCATAGCCAACGTATCAAAAAGGTTGAGCATGAAGTAATACGCATAATAATCTGATTCCCAGACCCATCCGACCACAACGTGTACACATTTCTGGTGTTCTATTGCGGTAGGAGAATAGAAAATTAGGGAGGATGACACGGCCCAAGAGATTGATAGAAACTCCATAGTTCGAGTAAACAAAATGCAACGCTTCAATCCTTTTAAGTAACCATTCAACGTATCAGAATACATCACATTTGTTCGATAGTCTTGGACATCTTCTGTGAGAGCTTCTAAGACCTTTGCAACTCTAGGTCTATTCCAAACTAAATTTAATTCCAAAAATAAAAATGACACCAAGACAAGGATATCATGAAACTTAGTTATGGACTGTTCTTGTGATTCGTTTGGTTCGGAAATACAAAATGAAGTGGTGAGTATGAAAAACAAACATAAGGTTATTCGAACAAATGATAACAACGCATCTATGCGACCTAGACCGAAAACCAAAAATGTGTTGCTTTTAACTTTAGCTTCCGTGTATTTTAGGCTGATTTCCATTGTTGCTAGTTAAGCTCAGGGCGAGTGATACGAACACGTAGCTAGAAGTGAAAGAGACAATTTCACTCTACCAAAATAAAATAGAGTCTTACGGAGCACTTTTAGGAGCGCAAAACAATTTATTTTGCTACACTTGAAAGAATTTGACGATGAGAGTTTAGAAAAGTCTATCCCTTGATTATGTTAACATAACTTGTGTTCTATACTTCTTCCAAGCCTTTTTCCAAGGGTAAAAGGTGGTTGTTTACCTGGAACATGTTTAGAATTCAAGTTATTATTTAAGGTAAACTTATGAAATTTATTATTTTACGTAGAAACATAATATAAAAAAAAAATAAAGCTGAACAGGAAAAGAAAAAGTTCAGGCCTTCAGTTAAATTTCAGTGCCTACTTAAGAATTCTAAATAATCTCTGTTAGTAATTTTTTACTGACAAACTTATTAGGTCATACATTAGTTGAAATCAACGATGAGATCTTGATCATTGAAACATGGCATAGTGATGTAATTTATTTTTATTTCAACACTACTTTAACAACAGACTAGTTATACTGTAGATAGGTTTAGGTGATATAAGTAGTGAAACAATTACTGCACCCACATGTCCAGAGTATTACAAACCGCTCTCAGCTATGATGCAGCTATAATTTACCAATAGTCTCTGACTCTTTTAAGTTGTGACTGTGTTGAACAAACTGAAAAATACTTAACATTGAAGGTAAAAAAAGACTTTTAATGCTGATGTCTTCTAGATTTACATATATTCTATGAAATAGGTACACTTGAGAGCCTACGTAAAGTCATTTACATTTGTAAAAAATACTACTTTTAGTATTTTACACTCCATACATAAATAGTACTTAGTAAATAAATAGTAAATAGTACTTTACACTCCTCATATACCATTTACAATTTTTTATATTGTTATATTTTTTTATACAGAGTGTTCATTTGAAAACTTTCCATATCTGTTGTGTGCAAAGGTAAGGCTTTTAACACTTGTTTGTTCTCATTTCCCCCTAATTTGGACATGCCAAATCCAATAAAATTATTTTCAATTTTGAAAAATGCCCCAAAAGGGCCCAATTTGGGGGGTAGGGGTGCTTTTTGAGAAATTTTCAAATGTAAACATAGGTTGTGTGATACATCAATTTAAAGGTCTAATCACCCCGATCATTTTGGTGCAAAAAAAGTTTAATTATCTTTAACCGTATTTACAGGGTGGGTCAAAACGTTTTAAAAAAGGACTTTGAAGTTAAGTACCGTATTACCCTAACTACTGAACGGAACAGCGCCAAATTTCTTTCCAAGCTTATTCTTTAGCTACTCTTTAAGATAACTTGTAGTAAGGGCATTTTCCAAGTTATTTTCTAATTTTAAAAAAATCTCAAATTTTAAGAATAAAAGAAAGCTGAAAACTCAAAATTCTTAAATAGCAAGGTATAACAAATTTCATACCACAAGAAAGGGCCTTTTTTAACAAACATTTTACGTATTTAAGTTTTCTTTCTATCTCTTACCGTTAAAAAA